CAGCTTCCTCCTCTACTAGTACTCACATCAGCAGCTTCCTCCTCTAGTAGTACTCACATCAGCAGCTTCCTCCTCTACTAGTACTCACATCAGCAGCTTCCTCCTCTGCTAGTACTCACATCAGCAGCTTCCTCCTCTGCTAGTACTCACATCAGCAGCTTCCTCCTCTGCTAGTACTCACATCAGCAGCTTCCTCCTCTAGTAGTACTCACATCAGCAGCTTCCTCCTCTGCTAGTACTCACATCAGCAGCTTCCTCCTCTACTAGTACTCACATCAGCAGCTTCCTCCTCTGCTAGTACTCACATCAGCAGCTTCCTCCTCTACTAGTACTCACATCAGCAGCTTCCTCCTCTGCTAGTACTCACATCAGCAGCTTCCTCCTCTGCTAGTACTCACACTAGCAGCTTCCTCCTCTGCTAGTACTCACATCAGCACTTTTACTTTACATTAGCAGCTCCTAGTCTACAATCACCTCGGTGCCCTGTCGTTGCGATCAGATGGTCGCATCCATGAGCTAGTCCTCGGCTTGTCTCCCAACATTCTCGACCTCCTCGCTCCTCCTGGTGAGTCCCATGGCGCTCTCCGTTCCTTTTCCTGGAAAGGAGATGCAGCATACACGCCTCTCCTGTTCTCTAGAGGAGATGAAGCATACACGTCTCGCCTGTTCTCTAGAGGAGATGAAGCATACACGTCTCGCCTGTTCTCTAGAGGAGATGAAGCATACACGCCTCGCCTGTTCTCTGGAGGAGATGAAGCATACACGCCTCTCCTGTTCTCTGGAGGAGATGAAGCATACACGTCTCGCCTGTTCTCTAGAGGAGATGAAGCATACCCGTCTCGCCTGTTCTCTAGAGGAGATGAAGCATACCCGTCTCGCCTGTTCTCTAGAGGAGATGCAGCATACACGCCTCTCCTGTTCTCTAGAGGAGATGAAGCATACACGCCTCTCCTGTTCTCTAGAGGAGATGAAGCATACACGCCTCTCCTGTTCTCTAGAGGAGATGAAGCATACACGTCTCGCCTGTTCTCTAGAGGAGATGAAGCATACACGTCTCGCCTGTTCTCTAGAGGAGATGAAGCATACACGTCTCGCCTGTTCTCTAGAGGAGATGAAGCATACACGCCTCGCCTGTTCTCTAGAGGAGATGAAGCATACACGTCTCTCCTATCCCGTTGGATGGCTTCACTCTCACGGTTTCGTGGATCGCGCGATGAAGCTCTGCTCCTGTCTCTGAGAGTACTCTCAACGATCCTGCTCATGTCCTCGTACCGCAAAGACTCGGGCGCTGCGGTGAACCTCCTCTGCTCTCTCGCAGCATCTTCAAACATCTTCTGTTCCACACGCGGAGGCTTTTGAGACTTTTCCCTCCGTTGAGGAGAAGGGTAAGCAAACTCTGAGGCGGTGTAGTCAGGCGCTTCCCTAGGACGAGGATCGGGTAGTTTTCTCAGCCTCCACATGTCCGGCGGGTCTCGCTGAAACTTTCTGTGGGTCGTCGGCGACATCTGCTCTGCCATCCTCATGCTCTTGAAAGGAGACAGTACAGTTTGACCCTCCTCTCCTCCCCTCTCGTTGAAAGCCCTGCGCTGCTGCTGCTCTCCCTGTACTTGCTGGGACTGTTCAAGCGACAACCTCTGCGGCCTCGGCAAGTCAAGGCTGGTTCCCGAGTCCGCGTTGGGATGAATTTGCTGCCTACGAAGAGAACGTGAAGGAGCGGGTTGCATTCCAGGAGAGTCTTGCGGCATCAGCATCCCTCTTTGCGACTTCATCCTCGCCTCTCGCTTCCTTGACCTGCGTCGCTTCTCTCCAGTCTTACTTGCCTGTGAGTCTTTCTGCCTTGCAGTCCTCGCTTCAACCGGTGAGAGGGAGTTAGTCTCAGCCACCAGCCTGTTCGTCCAAGGGACAAAGCCGTTGCCGTCCTGCCCTTCCCCTCCATCTCTTTCTCTTTGATTCGCCTCCCCTGTCTCCTCTACGCGCCCCGAGGGCAACAGCCGCGCGATTCTCTTCGACTCTAACGCTCTTCTTGGTACTCCGTCTTGAAGGAGGAGAGGAAAGAGCTTTTGTCGCGCCTCCTCCGAGGAGTTGAGAGAGAGGAACATGGCATGGTAGACGTCCTTGTCAGCTGCTCTGAGGGCTCGAGCTTGCTGCAACATGTCCCAAATCTTCTCTTCCATCACTTCCTGTGGAAATATTCTCGACCTGCTCACGGCCAGGATTGTCTCCCCAAAGAGTCCGCTCGAGCGGAGAGGACGAGGCACATGGTTGAACAAGATCTCGGCGCATCTCCAGTAAGTTCGTCGATCGATCGATCCTCTCCGAATCATCTTCAGCATCATCCTCGCGACGTTACTTCCCAGCAACCCGTTGGGGGTGGAGGAGGAGGAAGGCGTCTCGTCCTCTGCTTGACCCCTCCCGTCTTCTTCCGTGTCACCGTCGCCTTCCAAGGACAAGGTCAGGTTGGTTGCGAACGTTGACTCCATCACGAGCTTCGCCACTTGCTGCTGTAGAGCGTTGGGGCGGGAGCCGGGGGAGGAGCTGGAGGAGGAGCCGGAGATGTCGCTGAGGCGATGTACGATGATTTCAAGTGCAGGGATGTTGAGAAGAATCCTGAAGTCTCTGATAAAGTTGATCACCAGCCTGAGGTCTTCCAGCCCGGGTCGACAAGTCTCAACGTACAAGAAGATCACCCGGTTGAACACCTCGTCGTCCACCTCTAGCACAGAGTCGAAAGCTCTTCCCGAGAGAATCTCATGCCAGTCGGGAGGAGGCCGAGCGCTGGTTTGCCGGTGTCGCCGAAGGAGCAGGAGGCAGGATTCCATCAGTCTGAGAGACTGTCGCATGTTCAACAACATCATCGTCTTGACTATCCAAGAAGAGGTTCGGTATACTATCTCCTCCTCGACGTTGTCAAACTTCGATGCGAACTGGAGGCATGACTCGATGAAGCTGAGGTCGACTCTGAGCTTTGCTGCTTTCTTGCGAATTTTCTCAAGTGCACTGGGAGACTCCTGTGAGCAATTGGCGTGTTGTTCAAGCTTGCTGAACAAGCCCTGAAAGCTTGAATTACTCTTTGAAAGACAATCATCAGCAGTAGAATTTGCATCACACAGTGATGATGTAGTCTCGTTGCGATCGCACCCAAACAAGGAGTACAAAACTTTCTCGACAAACTTCATACCAACCAAGTAACTCTCATTGCTTCCCCTTAAGGGTTCCTCTTGCAGTATTTCAAGAACGCTGCGTACATGATTTCCATCCAACGAATGATTGAAAGACGCGACAAAGCCGTTGATCTTGTACAGCACCATCCCCGTCTGCCAACACAGAGGATGCTGAGCTTGAGAGTCCTCACTGCTTGTCTCGGAGAAGGCAAGGCTTGACCGCATGACACGTACGTGTACAAGATTGATAAGAGTATCGAAACCAAGATTGAACATCGTCTTTCTCTCCTCCACCATCTTCATCACTCTTCCCCGCTGCAAGAACTGCAAGTGGAAATGAGGATGCAGGCAAAGATGATGATAGATTCACCTTGAGACCAACCTCGACCCAAAAGAAGGCATCTGTAAGCAAACTATCACTAAAAGAAGAGGCAAGATGGGGAGATAGATAGGAATTGTAGACAGGTATGATAGATGGGTATGATAGATAGGCACTATTTCACAACATACCTTTCTGCAAAGCCTCTTCTTTGTTAATCGGTTGTTGGTCACAGCTGGATTGACAAGTCACAATGGACTTTAAGACAGACGAGATCACCTCTTCATTCCCGACTGCGTGAGACAACGCAACATCTCAGCCACGAGCGATGAGCTTGCCTGCAACCCGCACGAATCACGTGAAGTCTTCGTCATGTTGCCGTTACGTTGGCGGTTGACATGTCAAAGTACGACAAAGCAACATCCCACGGCGCTTCTTCGCAAAGAGCGACTACGAGGACAGTCAGAAGTGAGAGGACGAACAAGAGACGAACCAAGTCTGATGAGACTCCTGAGCAATGAGGCCTGCAACTTGACGTCTTCAACCTCCTTCGCTTGATCCCACAAGTCACTGACGACATGACTATCCTTGTGGATTATGTCGAGAGAGAAATCCTGTTGGATACTGGTGGCTAGGTCGATGATCTGATCGAACGTCACCCTAACTAAGCTCCTTCAAGTCGAACTTGTCAAACCTTGCTAAATATCTTGAGACTTCTCACGTCCTCTGGGTCCTTGAATGACTTCACTCGCTTCCAGATGGTCAAACTTTCGTTCCAGCAACTCTCAGATTCTTGCTTGGCAAGTTGTAGGCGAGCATCCGTCGAGTTGATGATAACTTGCTGTCGCTTCATGTATCTAATTATCACCAACAACCTTTGCAACGTACGGAGGCAAGATTGCAAGCATACGAGATGATCTTCTGAATCGAGAATCTCGAATCCTCTTGTTTGAAATCCCATTAGTCCAATTGAGTCGAGGAACCCTAGCGGCCTGATTCCTCTGAGCTTGCAGACTCGCAGAAACATGCGGCAGGTTCTCGAGTTCAAAAGTTTCCCGTCACCTTGCAAACGTTTGCCAAAGACCTGACCTATGGCCTCGAGCAGCGCATCTCCTCCAAGCACAGACTGCGAATCAATATTCGAGCAAACAACATTCGAGCAGCAGACTTTGCACAAACGCTCGAGGCGGCGCAGCAATGCAGATGAATCAGGAGGAGAAGAAATGACTTGGTTTGCGCGAGGGATTGAGAGCCACTTCTCGCACAAGGGAGGCACAATACTCGCAAGCTCCTCTGACGTCTTCTTGGACACACCGCAAGTCCTAGCTTCCCTCATGACTATCTCAGTGAACAGTAGCAGCTGCACAACAAGATTCAGAGGAGCGCTGGGAGGGGAGGCAGGTCACAATACCGTCTGTTCAATGAGCTTCTCCCCTCCTTCTTGCAAGATGGTTCTGCAAGCACAAGGGTGAGCAGATGTGAAACATCCGTTTGATCTCACCTAGCAATGCAGCAGGACAAGGGCAGCAAGGCGGGCAAGGAGTTCGAAGATCGCGCCATGCTGCGCAACAGATTGACCAGAACTTTCCTTCTCACCTCCACCACAAGGTCAACGTTGACTGTCGACATTGTGCTGCGATCTTTGTCACATGAGATAAGCTCTGTCTCATTGAAATCGGCAGGTTGCAGGAGGACATGATTGCTGGATGAGTTCACAAGATCCTTCGACAAGCCGATGGACATGTGCACCATGATGGACAACATGTCATCAGATGCCTTCTCAGCTTCCTGGCTCCTTGATGTACACAAGTCAGAGAAGATTCAGAAGCTCAAGTCATCACCATCTCTGAGCCGAGAGCAGAAGATAGCAAGAACAGACGTCGTTGAAGTCCAAGAGTTCACGTCTTGCAAATCTTTCTGAAAGTTGATTCGCGAATGCAAGAATGACCTGCGGAAAGTCAGGCTCTGTGCATGCGTCCTGAACTTGTTGCATACTCCAGCTCGAGGAACTTTATGTTGCAGTGCAAACCGTCGCAATAGCATTTCATCCTATGAAACCGTTATCTATTGAGCAACTGTTGCAAACTTTCACCTTCTCAAGGCTGAAATTCGACGGAAGAGACAAGGAGAGGACAGAGCCATCAGATTGATTGATCGCCTCACCACTCGACTGCGAGCAAACGTGAGGCGGGCACAGCGCAATCAATGTCTCCACCGCGTTGACAAGACAAGGCTCCTGCTCCTCCTCGGCGAGATCCGATGACCTAACAGCAGCTGGTTGGCTCCCTCCCCCTCAGCTGGTTGGCTCCCTCCCCCCTCAGCTGGTTGGCTCCCTCCCCCCTCAGCGTCCATCCTCGTGTGATGCAGAGAAGCGTTGCCGCGTGCCTCGGCGTCTTTCACTTCCATCGTTCCAGTCAAGAGTGTTGAAAACTTTGACGCGTTGAGACGAGGAGAGTCTGATGCCTCCACCCTCTCAGCAGCACATTCAGCCCCTTCCCCTCCACGCAAGACCGTCAAAGTGACGTGAAAGGGAAGGCCTATAGTAGTCCTGCGTCTCCCTGCTGGGATGCCAGCAGGATCTGAGCTGTCTGCCTTGTTCATGCTACAGACAGCAGTTGACATCACCAAGACGATAAGGAGAGCTTTCGGCTTCATCTTTCGCGACATGGCCCTTGGCGACTTGAAGTTTCTTCCTCAGACGCTGGCAGTAGAAAAGAGACTCGGAGCCGTACGAGCGCTAGGGCATGCCGGAGATACAGAGACGATCATTACCTACTCGGCTCACTGCTGACGGTTTCTGTTCATCCCCAACTTCCCTTCAACGTACGCAGGCTGCCCAAGGTCCCAACAAATCCTCTGCCTCGTCCTCGTCCTGGTTCTACTTCGAACCGCTGCATCTCCCACACGTCTTGAAGCTCTTCCAACCTTGTGGGTTGATAACAATCTGCGTTTGATGTCTTCCTGCCACTCGTCCAATCGGATGCCCTTGACTTCCTGATGTCTCGTCGACTCTCTTGCTATTCCCGAGGGATTTTCCCATCTACTTCACCAAGTTCAAAATTCATCACCATTCCTTCGTTCTCCTGTAATGGGCGATACTCAGCGTAACGTTTCCGTTCTTTTCCAGTTATATCCCAGAACTTCACCTGCTAAGTTCTTGTACTGCCTTATTCTCAAATTTGTATTCCTAACATTCAAACCTCCCTCGGCTCCTCTCCTCTCCTCTCCTCTACTCCTCTCCTTCTCTCCTCTCCTCTCCTCCTTCTCATCTCCTCTCCTCTCCTCTCCTCCTCTCCTCTACTACTCCTCTCCTCTACTCCTCTCCTTCTCTCCTCTCCTCTCCTCCTTCTCATCTCCTCTCCTCTCCTCTCCTCCTCTCCTCTACTACTCCTCTCCTCTACTCCTCTCCTTCTCTCCTCTCCTCTCCTCCTTCTCATCTCCTCTCCTCTCCTCTCCTCCTTCTCCTCTCCTCTCCTCCTCTCATCGTTTCTTCCTCTCCCATTTTTGCGCCCGATGCCTATCACATACCCAGCCATCGTGCTAGCTGAGGCGCACTCACTCAGCCGCCGCCGGCGGCCCGGCGGCGCAGCCGGGGCCCGCCCTTGAAGTTCCAAGTCAACGCTGACCCCTTGAGGCTCCTCAGTGAAGATGTTCAGGGGTACTGACGTTCACAGCACTGAGGATGAGCACAATGCGACAAAGCAGCTTATTGCTGGGATTGTCTTTCATTTACTTTACACGAGCAGACGTCGAGCCTCACTGAGCTTCCTCCTCCTCCTCCCCTGTCCTCATTCCTGCTCCTGCTTCAACTCACTCCTTCCCCTCCTCTTCCTCTCCTAGTCGCAGCCCCTCACTCGCATCGTCTGTTACGAAACTCCACGTATCGCTTGTGCCCGTTGAACTTGAACGTCCACGACTTGTACTCCTGCAGCACCAGCTGCAGCTCGCACACGTGGCCCGCTACCCCCAGCCTCTTCGTCCTCTCCGTCACCACCCGCACGTTCAAGCACACGTCCCGGTACCCTCCCGACTGCCGCGGATCGTAGCTCCCGTCGAACCGGTTCTTCACCCTCATCACCTCCACCCGCTCGTCCTCCGTGATCGCATGCAGGCAGCGCGTCAGGTCCTCCAGGTCCTCGAACACGATGCACTGACGCACGATGTCCACCAGGCGCGCGACAACGCAGTCGTAGGAGCGCGAGAGCTTCTCGATGGCGCGATCGACGCTCTTGAGGTTGGCCCACTTGATGCGCTGGAGCAAGTCCGGGTTGAGCTTGGCGTCGACCCACCGCACGAAGTGCATGTCGTCATCTGAGGCGAGGATGGGGAAGCTGCCGTTGGACTTGTCTGCAAGCTGCTGCACCAAGAGCTTGAACTCGTCTTCCATCAGCATCGCTTGCATGTACAGCTGGTCAAGCGTGATCTTGGGCTGCTCTCTCAGCACATCCTTCGGCAGCATCTCACGGCAGCGACAGGCCCACCTTCGCATCGCGCTCTCTCCTCCCTGCTTCCCCGCCGGTACGACCTCGGCAGCTTCGACGGGCGTGACTCCCTGTAGAGGCACGCCAGCCCGCGGAGACGAGTTGATGGACCCGCAGAGAGAGGCGAGCGATGCGAGCTGATCCTGCACTCCCTGCCTGCCGCAGATCTCGTGCCAGATCTTCTGGTAGTGCCTCAGGTCCTCTTCGATAAACTTCCACGAGCTCTTGATTGCAATCTTCCTACTTACTTGCACAAGAATCCAGATAACGAACAAGAACGTGGGACCTCCTGGTACTTGAAACGGAAGTTTTGAGATGTACAAGTCCTGTAAGCCCTGCCCGATGAAGCACACTGTGAAGTAGAAAGGCACGTACAACATGAACCATTCTTCGTGATACTGGATGACATGCCCGAATGTCATCGACGAGGCCCCCAAGACCCACCAGTACACCGAGTAGCTCGATGATGTGCTGCTCGTCACATAGCCGACGGCTGTGATCAGCTCCATGATGCCGGGTACCCATAAGCACGCTGCGATCATGCCAAGCGCCGTCCGGTGCTGCCCCATGCTCGCCGTGATGGCGCTACCGAACGCCAGCACGAACACGGGGAAGTAGAGCAAGACGGTCCCGATGGATTGATACCAGGGGCTCCTCAGGTCGACACCGTAGTGCTTGCCCATGCTGTGCTCGGCATAAACAAACTTCTCTCGATCCGTGGGGATGCAGACAGGGACGACAGTCGACCAGGAGCACGAGGAGGCACCGATGACCCTCCAGGAGACCTCAGTCAGGTTGTCTCGATGAGCCACATCCTCTGACGCCAGCACTTGAAACCGCACAGGTTGCTCTCCAGCCACCGGGACAGGCGCAAAGAACCACCCGTTAGCTCGCAGCTCGCTAGAGAAAGTGACGATGAAGTCCTCATTCACAGCAAAGGACGAGCTCGTCAAGTCGTGGATTTCACAGCCGTTCCACATGAGACCCAGCAACGAGATCCCAGGGGCCACGACCGCCTGCGCATCCGCGGTCGACGCGATCTCAAGCGTTCGAAACCTCAGACTCCTCACAGCAATCGCGCTTTCATGGACGATGGACTTGCTAAACTCTGATGACAGGCTGAAGCAAGCCACACACGCGTACACCCCGACTAGGACAAGCAGTAGCTTGGACCATGGCTTGTACAAGGCATGGGTCACTGGTGTGCTGGTGAAGAGCACACTTGCTTGGCCTGCGTTCTTGACAGCAAACCAGACCTCTCGCAGTCTCGCTTCCAGAAAGTCTCCTGGAAAGCTGCACCTTTGCCGCAGGATGGCGTCGGTTCGGTCCAGCTCGTCGCAATCGACGGATTTGACCTCCATCTCCACGGTTTCCTCGCTGTTCGATACACGCGAGAACGCGAACAAGGACTTCAGGTACTGGAAGAAGTTACAATCGATCGAAAACAACACGACCAATCTGTTCAGCTTGCCTATCTTCCGAAGCCGTTGGATCATGAAAATATGCCTGAAGAATTCAACAAGTCTGCGATGTCTTCGGGTCTTCTTGTACCGAAGATAGCGGGAGTGCTCTGCCTCCTCCTTGATAGCGTATATCCCTCTCATCGCAAGCACAAGCTCGCACACGTGCCCCGCTACCCCCAGCCTCTTCGTCCTCTCCGTCACCACCCGCACGTTCAAGCACACGTCCCGGTACCCTCCCGACTGCCGCGGGTCGTAGCTCCCGTCGAACCGGTTCTTCACCCTCATCACCTCCACCCGCTCGTCCTCCGTGATCGCATGCAGGCAGCGCGTCAGGTCCTCCAGGTCCTCGAACACGATGCACTGACGCACGATGTCCACCAGACGACACACGTGGAAGTCATAGGTGCTGGCAAGTTTCTCGATGGCGCGATCGACGCTCTTGAGGTTGGCCCACTTGATGCGCTGGAGCAAGTCCGGGTTGTGCTTGGCGTCGACCCACCGGACGAAGTCGACGCTGTTCTGGGTGATGATGGGGAAGCTGCCGTTGGATTGCTCGGCGTAGTCTTGGACGATGTCCAGGAAGAGAGGCTTCAAGGCATTGGCCTGTGCGTAGAGTTGATCTAAAGAGTCCACCAGGGTCGACACCTTCATGCACTTGTTGATGTACATCGAGAGCATCCGACTGTGAAGCTCGACGAGGAATGGTTCTCTCTTACTCTCCAGGTTGTCAAAGCCTCCTTGGACGATGATCTCGAACTTGTTCTGTGTGTTGTATAGATGGCTGAAGCTGTGTAAAGACTCCGACCAACTGTACTGCAGAGGAACGGGGACCTGACAGCTGTCGATCTGGAACTTCTTCTTCGTCGCTGCCACCTGCGCTTTCAAGCACTCAACATCCTCTGCAAAGCTTGGAAGCTCGGTCAGCTCCTTCCACGCTTGCTCAAACTGCTCGACGTCTTGGCGTATTACCTGTCTGCCCTGGAACGAGTGCCACTCGCGGTTTCCGATCAGAAGCACGAAGACGACAATGAAAAAGATCGCCGCAGAGTTGATGGTCTGATCAATGATCCATGTGACCAAGATCTGGTAGATCCCAGCCATCAGTCCTTTCTCGAGAGCGAAATGCTCACTCAGAAGTAGAGGAGCCGGAAACAACAACAAATCCTGAACACCAACGTTAGAAGACATAGGCTCAGCAACGAGGTCTCGATTACCCCGAAAGTCTGGTACAGGACCAGGCCTTGCCGGTCGTTGTGCCAGTTCATCGTAGAGCCTCCGTACCCTCCAAGGCGAACCAGTGACGTCAGCACTATCCCCCAAGCTATCACCTGCTTCATGAGTCAGCGAAAGCCCTCTAAGACATCTACAGATCGAAAGTGCTCGCTTCACCTTGGTCGAGCCTCTCGGGCAGCGATGGTGCAGAAGAATCAAGCCTAGCAAGATACTCGCAAACATGACGACCCTCGCAATCAGCGACGAGTAGTCTGGCCATACACACCACATGTCGTGGAAGTTGAAGTCTACAACCTCCAGTCGCCTCATCGGCGTGTTGTAGATGGGAGCATTTCTGCTTTTGAGGTAGTTCATTGTCGACATGTCGTTTGATCTGACGCTCCCACAGACTCGAGAGTAGGCAATGTAGACCCAGTCCTTCCTGTCGTCCGAGCCCTCGATGAAGAAAGATACCACGTCAAGCTCCGTCGATAGATTGCTGGTGATGATGTAGAAGCCGTTGGATTGCACAGAGTCTTGAAAGCTCAGCTCGTACGTCGACCCATTCACGGCATGCGATACCCCTGGCAGTTGCTCTATCACAGCCGTGTTGCTCATGACGTCCTTGATGACATGCGGCATCCTGCAGTTCTCCACCATCAAGCCCATCCCCGCTATTCCCGGCGACTTGACGTTGGGCCATTTCGTTCCGTCCCGCAGCATCATCGCAGTGAACCTGAAGTACCGATAAGACTTGTAGTCCGCCACCTGCACCGATTTCCATAGAAAGATCTCATCCTGGTACCCGAAGATGAGCACGATGATTCCCAGGATCAGAAGGCTGAGCCTGTTGATACGCAGAAGCAAGAGCATGGAGATCGGGCGCACTGAGAGAAACACCTTCCATAGATCCCGAGCATGCAGGGAGTGCTGATATCGATCAGCGAGGTCCTGCAAGGCGTTTCCGGGTCTGGACGCGCTTGCTATCACGTATTCCTCTGCCAGGCGCGATTGTTCCTCAGAGTGAGAGTCATGGAAGATTTTCTCGGGGGGGCTGCATGCCTCCTTGCCCTCAGGCATCTTGGTAGCTCCCGGCTCGTCTTCTAGGGGAGGAAGCTTATTGCTGCGAGCAGGCGAAAGGAGAGTGTCATCTGGGAAGGCGAGTGAGGTTTCGATAGTATCCATCTTGTCACAGTAAAATCCATTTCTCAAGTAGAAATCCGCTCCATATCCTTCATGCTAAACATTTTGATCTCCACTTCTGAAGGATTTACTTAGTTCTCTCTCCTTTCATTCTCTCTCCTTTGTTCTCTCCCTTCGTTCCCACTTATGTTCTCTTCCCTCCTTTGAACCTTCTATTTCTGTACTCGAGCTCTTTCCTCACTATGTCTCTTGGTTTGTCTGTGCTCCTCCTCTTTCTAGCATCATCTCCACTGCTCGTTCTTCGTTCTCCTGCCTTCTCCTTCCCTCCACCTCCTTCGCTGCTCTGACTTCTTCCATCCCGCTCCCCAAACATGCGCAAACCATGGAATCATTACTGCGAGCTCGCTAAACCTACGGAATCTCTCTACTACCAACAGTTCTGCCTGATACATTTTAAAAAGAAAATCACTGTATTGTCTCCTAGTTAAACGCGGAGGACACCAAATATCACATAGGAATGAGAAGCCTATCAGGATTGCTGCCTTGGAAAGTCTCTAGGAGTTTTTGTTTTGAGAGTTCTGAGGCCCTTTCAGTTTCCCGAGAATCTTCTGTAAATATTTGAAATTTGACTACAAACATTTCGATAAATTATTTGAATAATTCTGAACCGTAAAGGGACAGTAATGTGACGTGACTGATCTTTTAAATGGCCTCTAGTACCCCATCCAATCCCATCCCACCCACCCCACCCAATCAAGGTCTAATAGTACCAAGGGCGTAGCGACCAAGTACCCCACCCCACCCCCTAGAGGTCTCATATGTACTATCGGACCTCCCCATTAAGACTGACCCCCAATTGGAGGGGACGTGAACGCTGCGGAAATTGACTGCCGAAAAGGTGAAAAAAACTTCAGTTTGTGTAATACAATATTTCAAATTTGATAAGATAATTCTAACCAAAAACTAACTACCTACAAATTTGCCACCTACTTCTTTGAAAAAAAACTCCTAGAAACTTTTGAAAGGCAGCAATTAAAGAGAGCTATTTTTGCTATATCAAATTTAGTGTCCTCCGGATCTCACTAGGAGACAGTTTGAAGAAGCTTCTTTTTTTTGGTCAGGTCTAGAGGAGTGGAGAACTGTTGGTAGTAGAGAGATACCGCAAGGATGGGGGTCAAAAGCGTTTGGGGATGCGCGCACAAGGAGAGGCTGAGGAAGAGGAATGAAGGAGGAACGAGGAAAGAAGGAGGAAGCGAAAGCGAGAGGAGAAGGGAGAAGAAAGCAAGACAATCAAGGAGAGAAGAAGAGAAAGAAAAGTTAGGGAGTGTGTGAGCAAACAAATCTTCACACTTGCCAATACCAAGCCTGTACACATTCCAAATTTTCCCTCGCCTTTGAGTGACAAATCCGTCGATTTCGTTTGACATCTCAGTTGTGAAGATGAAAACCCAAAATTCTTAAGACTGCCCTGGCAGTAAGATGATAACTATCGAAACCTCACTCGCCTTCCCAGATGACACTCTTCTTTCGCCTGCTCGCAGCAATAAGCTTCCTCCCCTAGGAGACGAGCCGGGAGCTACCAAGATGCCTGAGGGCAAGGAGGCATGCAGCCCCCCCGAGAAAATCTTCCATGACTCTCACTCTGAGGAACAATCGCGCCTGGCAGAGGAATACGTAATAGCAAGCGCGTCCAGACCCGGAAACGCCTTGCAAGACCTCGCTGATCGATATCAGCACTCCCTGCATGCTCGGGATCTATGGAAGGTGTTTCTCTCAGTGCGCCCGATCTCCATGCTCTTGCTTCTGCGTATCAGCAGGCTCAGCCTTCTGATCCTGGGAATCATCGTGCTCATCTTCGGGTACCAGGATGAGATCTTTCTGTGGAAATCGGTGCAGGTGGCGGACTACAAGTCTTATCGGTACTTCAGGTTCACTGCGATGATGCTGCGGGACGGAACGAAATGGCCCAACGTCAAGTCGCCGGGAATAGCGGGGATGGGCTTGATCGTGGAGAACTGCAGGATGCCGCATGTCATGAAGGACGTGGCTGTGATAGAGCAACTGCCAGGGGTATCGCATGCCGTGAATGGGTCGACGTACGAGCTGAGCTTTCAAGACTCTGTGCAATCCAACGGCTTCTACATCATCACCAGCAATCTATCGACGGAGCTTGACGTGGTATCTTTCTTCATCGAGGGCTCGGACGACAGGAAGGACTGGGTCTACATTGCCTACTCTCGAGTCTGTGGGAGCGTCAGATCAAACGACATGTCGACAAAGAACTACCTCAAAAGCAGAAATGCTCCCATCTACAACACGCCGATGAGGCGACTGGAGGTTGTAGACTTCAACTTCCACGACATGTGGTGTGTATGGCCAGACTACTCGTCGCTGATTGCGAGGGTCGTCATGTTTGCGAGTATCTTGCTAGGCTTGATTCTTCTGCACCATCGCTGCCCGAGAGGCTCGACCAAGGTGAAGCGAGCACTTTCGATCTGTAGATGTCTTAGAGGGCTTTCGCTGACTCATGAAGCAGGTGATAGCTTGGGGGATAGTGCTGACGTCACTGGTTCGCCTTGGAGGGTACGGAGGCTCTACGATGAACTGGCACAACGACCGGCAAGGCCTGGTCCTGTACCAGACCTTCGGGGTAATCGAGACCTCGTTGCTGAGCCTATGTCTTCTAACGTTGGTGTTCAGGATTTGTTGTTGTTTCCGGCTCCTCTACTTCTGAGTGAGCATTTCGCTCTCGAGAAAGGACTGATGGCTGGGATCTACCAGATCTTGGTCACATGGATCATTGATCAGACCATCAACTCTGCGGCGATCTTTTTCATTGTCGTCTTCGTGCTTCTGATCGGAAACCGCGAGTGGCACTCGTTCCAGGGCAGACAGGTAATACGCCAAGACGTCGAGCAGTTTGAGCAAGCGTGGAAGGAGCTGACCGAGCTTCCAAGCTTTGCAGAGGATGTTGAGTGCTTGAAAGCGCAGGTGGCAGCGACGAAGAAGAAGTTCCAGATCGACAGCTGTCAGGTCCCCGTTCCTCTGCAGTACAGTTGGTCGGAGTCTTTACACAGCTTCAGCCATCTATACAACACACAGAACAAGTTCGAGATCATCGTCCAAGGAGGCTTTGACAACCTGGAGAGTAAGAGAGAACCATTCCTCGTCGAGCTTCACAGTCGGATGCTCTCGATGTACATCAACAAGTGCATGAAGGTGTCGACCCTGGTGGACTCTTTAGATCAACTCTACGCACAGGCCAATGCCTTGAAGCCTCTCTTCCTGGACATCGTCCAAGACTACGCCGAGCAATCCAACGGCAGCTTCCCCATCATCACCCAGAACAGCGTCGACTTCGTCCGGTGGGTCGACGCCAAGCACAACCCGGACTTGCTCCAGCGCATCAAGTGGGCCAACCTCAAGAGCGTCGATCGCGCCATCGAGAAGCTCTCGCGCTCCTATGACTTCCACGTGTGTCGTCTGGTGGACATCGTGCGTCAGTGCATCGTGTTCGAGGACCTGGAGGACCTGACGCGCTGCCTGCATGCGATCACGGAGGACGAGCGGGTGGAGGTGATGAGGGTGAAGAACCGGTTCGACGGGAGCTACGACCCGCGGCAGTCGGGAGGGTACCGGGACGTGTGCTTGAACGTGCGGGTGGTGACGGAGAGGACGAAGAGGCTGGGGGTAGCGGGGCACGTGTGCGAGCTTGTGCTTGCGATGAGAGGGATATACGCTATCAAGGAGGAGGCAGAGCACTCCCGCTATCTTCGGTACAAGAAGACCCGAAGACATCTCAGACTGAGATACTTTTTCACATTCCTCCTTCTTGCTTTCAGGCTTCGGAAGATAGGCAAGCTGAACAGATTGGTCGTGTTGTTTTCGATCGATTGTAACTTCTTCCAGTACCTGAAGTCCTTGTTCGCGTTCTCGCGAGTATCGAACAGCGAGGAAACCGTGGAGATGGAGGTCAAATCCGTCGATTGCGACGAGCTGGACCGAACCGACGCCATCCTGCGGCAAAGGTGCAGCTTTCCAGGAGACTTTCTGGAAGCGAGACTGCGAGAGGTCTGGTTTGCTGTCAAGAACGCAGGCCAGGCAACTGTGCTTTTCACCAGCACACCAGTGACCCATGCCTTGTACAAGCCATGGTCCAAGCTACTGCTTGTCCTAGTCGGGGTGTACGCGTGTGTGGCTTGCTTCAGCCTGTCGCCAGAGTTTAGCAAGTCCATCGTCCATGAAAGCGCGATTGCTCTGAGGAGTCTGAGGTTTCGAACGCTTGAGATCGCGTCGACCGCGGATGCGCAGGCGGTCGTGGCCCCTGGGATCTCGTTGCTGGGTCTCATGTGGAACGGCTGTGAAATCCACGACTTGACGAGCTCGTCCTTTGCTGTGAATGAGGACTTCATCGTCACTTTCTCTAGCGAGCTGCGAGCTAACGGGTGGTTCTTTGCGCCTGTCCCGGTGGCTGGAGAGCAACCTGTGCGGTTTCAAGTGCTGGCGTCAGAGGATGTGGCTCATCGAGACAACCTGACTGAGGTCTCCTGGAGGGTCATCGGTGCCTCCTCGTGCTCCTGGTCGACTGTCGTCCCTGTCTGCATCCCCACGGATCGAGAGAAGTTTGTTTATGCCGAGCACAGCATGGGCGAGCACTACGGTGTCGACCTGAGGAGCCCCTGGTATCAATCCATCGGGACCGTCTTGCTCTACTTCCCCGTGTTCGTGCTGGCGTTCGGTAGCGCCATCACGGCGAGCATGGGGCAGCACCGCACCCCGCTTGGCATGATCGCAGCGTGCTTGTGGGTACCCGGCATCATGGAGCTGATCACAGCCGTCGGCTATGTGACGAGCAGCACATCATCGAGCTACTCGGTGTACTGGTGGGTCTTGGGGGCCTCGTCGATGACATTCGGGCATGTCATCCAGTATCACGAAGAATGGTTCATGTTGTACGTGCCCGTTCACTTTGCTGTGTGCTTCATCGGGCAGGGCTTACAGGACTTGTACATCTCAAAACTTCCGTTGCAAGTACCCGAAGGTCCCACGTTCTTGTTCGTTATCTGGATTCTCATGCATGTTGCCAAGAAGATTGCAATCAAGAGCTCGTGGAAGTTTATCGAAGAGGACCTGAGGCACTACCAGAAGATCTGGCACGAGATCTGCGGCAGGCAGGGAGTGCAGGATCAGCTCGCATCGCTCGCCTCTCTCTGCGGGTCCATCAACTCGTCTCCGCGGGCTGGCGTGCCTCTACAGGGAGTCACGCCCGTCGAAGCTGCCGAGGTCGTACCGGCGGGGAAGCAGGGAGGAGAGAGCGCGATGCGAAGGTGGGCCTGTCGCTGCCGTGAGATGCTGCCGAAGGATGTGCTGAGAGAGCAGCCCAAGATCACGCTTGACCAGCTGTACATGCAAGCGATGCTGATGGAAGACGAGTTCAAGCTCTTGGTGCAGCAGCTTGCAGACAAGTCCAACGGCAGCTTCCCCATCCTCGCCTCAGATGACGACATGCACTTCGTGCGGTGGGTCGACGCCAAGCACAACCCGGACTTGCTCCAGCGCATCAAGTGGGCCAACCTCAAGAGCATCGATCGCGCCATCGAGAAGCTCTCGCGCTCCTACGACTGCGTTGTCGCGCGCCTGGTGGACATCGTGCGTCAGTGCATCGTGTTCGAGGACCTGGAGGACCTGACGCGCTGCCTGCATGCGATCACGGAGGACGAGCGGGTGGAGGTGATGAGGGTGAAGAACCGGTTCGACGGGAGCTACGACCCGCGGCAGTCGGGAGGGTACCGGGACGTGTGCTTGAACGTGCGGGTGGTGACGGAGAGGACGAAGAGGCTGGGGGTAGCGGGCCACGTGTGCGAGCTGCAGCTGGTGCTGCAGGAGTACAAGTCGTGGACGTTCAAGTTCAACGGGCACAAGCGATACGTGGAGTTTCGTAACAGACGATGCGAGTGAGGGGCTGCGACTAGGAGAGGAAGAGGAGGGGAAGGAGTGAGAAGCAGGAGCAGGAATGAAGACAGGGGAGGAGGAGGAGGAAGCTCAGTGAGGCTCGACGTCTGCTCGTGTAAAGTAAATGAAAGAATATTCTATGCCGCATCCCCTCCCTGACGTCTTGCTGGTCATCTTGAGAAGCCTGGCCGCGTCCAAACCTGCTGCTCGATCTCCGTCCACTCCTGTCACTTGTTGAGCATGTCGAGACAAGTCAACGCATGTCACGACAACATTACGTAGATGTGTTGAATGTCACTTAAGCATATCATACATGGGATTGCGCATCATAATCCTCGTCATCATCATCTCCATCATCATCATCTCCATCATCATCATCTCCATCATCATCATCATGGTCATCTCCATTGTCATCGTCGTCGTCATCATCATCGTCATCTTCCTCCTCTTCCTCCTCCTCCTCCTCCTCTTCGTCATCATCATCTCCATCATCATCGTCGTCGTCAAAATCATCATCATCATCATCATCATCATCATCATCATCATCATCATCATCATCATCATCATCATATCTTCTTCTGTCTTCTCACCTTCTCACTCGGAGTCTGCAGCGCAACCTTGAGGGAGGAGAGTCAGCGGTTGCAGAAGGTTATGACTCCTCACCTGGCTCGGCAGATTTTTCCGCACATGCAGCGGCGGCTGAGCCCATCGACCAACCCAGACGCCTGAAAAAGAAGAGAAGAGAAGAGATGA